TCGGAACCTATTTATACTCCAAAATATTCACGGTTTATCTGGCATTCATATTTAACTGGGTGTCCTGTACTTTGATTTGCTAAACCTGGCCACCCTCCGTGAGACACTGTTGGATCACTCAGCTGTGGTGAACAGGGGTCGGGTGGCGGTGGGGGGTGGCTAGGTGTCACCCAGCAGGATGAGGCCCATCCTCGTACATATTTTCTAAGTTTTGTCGGGTTTCAGTTGAGAGGAAATGACTTAAGCCGCAGCCACCTCTAGAACTTCACTGAGACTGAACTGAACTGAGATGGCCTCGAGCCAGCCCCGTGCCCCAGCCATCAGGACGACAGCATCCCGGGGCGCCTGAGTGGCTTAGTCGGTTAAGCGTCCGACTTTCGCTTAGGTCGTGATCTCGCGGTTCGTGGGTTAGAGCCCCGCGTCGGGCTCTGTGCTGACTGCCAGCTCAGAGCCTGGAGCCTGTTTCAGAGCCTGTGTCTCCCTCTCTCTCTGACCCTCCCTTTCTCACGCTGTCTCTCTCTCTCTCTCTCTCCTAGAAATAAATAAAAATATATATATATTAAAAAAAAAAAAAAAAAAGACAACAGCATCCTGAGCGGGCTGGGTGTCCTCCACTACTGGCCGCGGAGAACGGATGCCCAAAGCTAGGGCTCGGGAAGAATCCGAGGCTCAGGATGGCCCCAAGTTCTCTCCCAGCCCTCGGGCCTTCCCGGGGCCCAGCCAGGCCCCAGCTCCCCTGCTAGGGCTGGGGTAAAACAGGTCCCCCAGAAGCAGCCCCTTGTGGCTTAACGCTGACTGGGCCCTTTGCTTTGTACCCGTCCTGCTTATTCCCAAACAACAGAACTGCTGCTCAGCTGCATGGTCAGCCCCATTACGCTCTGGCCACAAAGTGCTGAGTCCAGGGGCTGCCCTGGCCCCATGACCTCACCCCTCCTGTACTGGGCCTCATCCTGTGAGGCTTCCCTAGAGGCAAGGCCAGGGGGCCAAGCCACCCATAAGATTCTCCTGAGCACCTACAGTGCTTGGCCTGTAGTGCTAGTCTTGAGGAGCCCCAAGTTCAAACTGACCAGGTTACAAGCGGTGGGGAGCGGGGGCTGCCTCGTTCCCCGCAACGGCCGTCATCACCTCCCCGTCGACAGCCTGTTCCTCCATTGCCCCACCAGCTCATGCAAGGAGTATGTGTGTCGAGAACATAGTTCACAATCCATGTCCCCAGTAGATCAGTGCTCTTGGGGAATTTGACAGAATGTACTGCTAAAATCAAATAAAGACAAATAGTGGGGGGGGGGGGGGAGAAACACCCAATGAATGTTGTCTTTTCCACATTCAAAGAAAGCCTTTTTTTTTTTTCTGATGAATTATTCTAAGATCTTTGCTGCTTTGCTCCCACTTGTCTGTATGAGAATCTGGCACAAGATGGCATCTGAATTGGGACAATCAATGACGTAGATGCCATTTGGGGAGCTGAGTCCATAACACTGCCCTTAAACTTTCACCTCCCTCCATCTGACAGCAGTGAGTCAGGTAAGTAGTATCATCCTACTCTCTGCAGAGATGCAGGGCCGCCCAGAGGAAGGAATCTGGTCTTTGGAGTCAGACAGACATGCATTCAAATCACTGCTGGGTTCCGTGGGCCAGAACATGGCCCCTCAGAACCTCAGTAAACTCATCGGTAAAATGGGTATTATAGTTATCTGTTCAATGGGTTATTTATTGTGAGGATAAGGAAAGTACTATCTGGTTCACAGTAGATGCTCGGTAAGCTGTAGTTGTTATTAAGGGTGGGCAGGAGAAGGGCGCCTGGGTGGTTCTGTCCGTTCAACGCCCAACTCTTGACGCCCAATGTCCAACTCTGACCTCGGCTCAGGTCATGATCTCACAGTTCATGGGATCAAACCCCATGTCGGGCTCTGTGCTGACAGCATGCAGCCTGCTTGGGATTCTCTCTCTCCCTCTCTCTCTGCTCCTCCCCTGCTCACACTCTCTCTCTCTCTCAAAATAAATAAATAGACTTAAAAAAAAAAAAAGGATGAACTGGAGGGACCCAAACCCAGCTTAAAGAAGGAATTACAAATGAATTGCTCTCTTGATTTCCACTCCTGGAGTGGCTCTGTCCTGACTTTCCTGCAAAGAGATGGTGGTGGTATCCAAAGTGCTCATGCTGTAACCATCATGAGGCATGCGAAGCAGCAGTGCCAAATAATGCCAGAGGGAGAATTCTCTAGAACATGGTTGAAAATCATACTGAGGTGATATTTGGAAAGCATTATGGTTAGCTGGAGACATGGTGATTCTTCTCCAGCTTTCTCGGACTTCGAGAGGACAGGCTAGGGCTGCTCATGACTCCAGGAATATCAGATGGATATTTGGGGGGGTGGGGGTTGGGGTTTTTTTCTTAAAGGTTTTTTATCTATTTTTGAGAGAGAGAGAGAGACAGCGTGAACAGGGGAGGGTCAGAGAGAGAGGGGAGGCACAGAATCCGAAACGCTCTAGGCTCCGAGCTAGCTGTCAGCACAGAGCCTGATGCGGGGCTCGAACCCACGAACTGTGAGATCATGACCTGAGCCGAAGTCAGACGCTGAACTGATTGAGCCACCCAGGTGCCCCTCAGATGGATATTTGTAAACTGTTTGCACAATAACCCCGACCCCCCCTCCATACACACACACACACACACACATACACAATAGTTTTGTGCATGTGTGTTTGAGCTTCTCAATCAAACATAAAATCCCACTTTTCTGTAAAAATTTAAAATGGGCTCAATCGGTCTTCATTATACTAACACTTAAATAGGGTGTAAAGCTCCCACCTTAAGATGCTGAGAGCATCTGAAGCACAAAGACAATATAAGCAAGTAAGGACTATATCACAGTTACCTCTGTGCCTCCAGAGTTACTAAACCTCATCAGAGGGTGGCATTCATTTATTTATCTATTCACTCAAAATGTATTCATTGGGCCAGGGTTATGCCCAGAACTGGAGATATAATGACTAACAAGACAGACGAAGCCCCTGCCCTCACAGAGGATGAAGTCCCATAGAAGAAGCAGATCATTAAACAATCAGCTTTTTTTATTTTCTTTCTTTTTTTTTTCTAATATTTTTATTTATTTCTAGGAGAGAGAGACAGCGTGAGCAGGGGAGGGTCAGAGAGAGAGGGAGTCACAGACTGAAACAGGCTCCAGGCTCTGAGCTGGCAGTCAGCACAGAGCCCGACGCGGGGCTCAAACCCACGAACCGCGAGATCATGGCCTAAGCGAAAGTCGGACGCTTAACCGACTAAGCCACCCAGGCGCCCCAACTTTTTTATTTTCAAAAATAGCTTTAATTATTTTGATGGAAATTGTGTTCACGTTGCTCAAAACCCAGGAAGTACGGAAAAATATACTGTGACAAGGTTTGTCCTCTACTTGAGCCCCAAGTGCTTCAGGTCCCCTCCTGGGAGCCCAAGGTGTCCAGTTTCTGAAGTAATTTCTATAGTATTATCAGTGCAATCCTGGGAGAAGTACAGAGTGCCGTGAGGGACCATTGCAGGGTCCCTAAGCCAGTCCAGGGGATAGGGAATGAATGAATGGACAAACGACCAGATAGGTGTTTCCATAAGACCCCAAGTCTGTGGAGGAAGGGAAGGAGAGGTTACAAAGACCACTAGCCATGGACAGTGGGTCCCATAAGCCCTTGCGTAGCCACTGGCTGGCCAGAGCCCACCATGATCCCCAAGTCAACGCTGTCCCTTGCCAGACATCACCGATTAATCAAGCAGCGGAAACGTTCAGGGCAGCACATGGTGCTTAGCATATCAGACCTGTATATTTGGAATGTTCTGCTAAATCTGCACATGCTTGTGTACATATCAGAACTTGCCCCCTTGGCTTTTGGTCCTAAGGAAAGAGGGCTCCAACGAACCTTGAGTCCCAGACTAGAGAGATTGGCAGAGGGATTGGGCGAACTTTACTGGGAAGAGGTTCTTCCTCTCTCCAAGCTGCTATGGAATTTTCTACAGTGTCTGTCACCAGAAAGAGGGTAGGGTAATAAGCAATAATAAGCCCATAATGAGTCAGGTAGGTGCTATCTCCTTTTGGGGACTGAGAATGACTGAGTGACTTGCCCAGGATCACCTAGTCAGCAATGCTGGGATTTGAACCTGTGTCCGCCTGCCTCAAAGCCCTTCTCAAGCCTCTGCTCCTCACAGCAGCTGCGATATCTGAGCAACACATCCTCCCCTCAGGGCTCCTGGGGAAGCCAATGATTCCCCTCCATCAATCTCACCAAATGCCCTGAACTTCCAGGGAGAAATCATTTTAATCTTTAGGGTATTATAGGCAAAGTACCTTGGGCCTGTGAGATTTCCAAGGTCCCGAAACAATATAATCACAGCCCAGAAAGATGTACTGCATCACCAAATTCTAAAACAAAGCTGCAAAATTAAAATGAATATTTAATAACATAGTTACGGAGAGATTCATGTCTACTGGTCAACCGTAACTGAATTCGACTCTTACATAGTTACATATATAGTGTAAGAAAGATTCCTGAGAACGCAGTGAACCTTCTTTTCCTCGTCTTAATAAAGTTCAGAGTTGTTATAGTCCTTTCCTCGTTTTTAACAACAAAAATGTATGTAGCCGGTATGGGAAGGGAGGTGCGTTTTGATGTGTCGGGTCGACATGGGGTCTTAGGAAGGTCCCAGGGTAGTGCGAGGAGCCTGGAGAAGGGGAGGGGACAAGCACTCGCACAGGGGCCTGTCCTCACCTCGCAGCTGTTCCGAGATCGAGACCACCGCAGCCCCCAGGCTTGCCCTCAGCAGCAGGGCCTCTCTGGATTTCTGTTTCCCCGGTTTAAACAAAAGCCCGAGGGATGCCTGGCCAGCAGGCTGAACCGCCAAAGCTCTGGGGATCAGGGCGAACAAAAGCAGAGGGAAAGCAGAGTGCTGACAGGGCCAGAGGCCATCGGCCACGGGGCTATAAAAGTCAGGGCCGCAGAGGAAGTGGCACCAGATGGAGACCCAGACTGTGCAGCAGGAGCTGGGTGAGTAAGGCCCTGCAGGTGCCCTGGCCCTTCCTTCCGGTCCTTCCCCTGCAGAGACGTGCCCAGGAGGGGGCCTGCCTTTCTGCCCTGTGCTCAGAGCCTCCGAGGAGGGCTAGAGAAAAGTAGGGAACTCGGGGAGCAGGGAGGCAGCCCTCTTCCCTCACCCCAAGAGGCATCATTTCCACGGCAATAACCACTGGCCTGGCAATTATGGCTAGTAGGGGGCACGGGGCTGCAAGAAATGAGCAGGCTCCCGAGGCACCGGGAGAAGCTGTGCGGGGCAGGAGCTGGGAAATGCTTATTCGGAGGTTCGGAACGGAAAGACAGACCACACAGTTTACAGGCATCAGTCCCTGGGCCTGATACTGGCCCGAAAGAAGGGCCACGAATGGCTGTTCCGAGCCATGAAAACTGCCTGTCTTGTCCCCGCACCCCCCCCCCCCGCCGCTCCTATCTTTCCTTCCTTTTACACTTCCTACCATCTTTTCTGTCTACCGAACCTCTATGAGCCTCAGTATCCTCATCTGTAAAATGGGGATAATGATAGTACTTACCTCATAGGCCTGGTAAAAAGCTTAAATGTATTCGTGCATACCAAGCATTTAGAACAGAGCCTGGAAGAGAGTGAGCCCCCTGTTAGCTATTATTACCCCCATTTCTTGCTCACTTGCCTTCAATAAGTCTTTTTCTTTTTTCTTTTTTTTAAGTATTTATGTATTTTTGAGTGTGTGAGAGAGAGAGAGAAAGAGAGCATGAGCGGGGGAGGGGCAGTGAGGAGGGAGACAGAGGATCCGTAGCAGGCTCTGCACTGAGAGCAGACAGCCCGACGTGGGGCTCGAACTCACAAACCCTGAGATCATGACCTGAACTGAAGTCAGATGCTCAAATGACCGAGCCACCCAGGCGCCCCTCATTACGTCTTATCCAATGCCACCCATCCTCCCCCTCAACCCCGTACTGCCCAGACTGGAGCTCAGCACGGTGCCACATCCATCAGTCAGGAGGCCCAGACCCTGCCACTGAGATGTTCACCCAGGACACATTGGATAGAAAGCTCGGTACTCTTATGAGTGCCAGAAATCAGGAAAGAAAGCAAGTCACCACAGTCTGGAAAAGTAGCCACATCTCTCTGAGGAGGCCAGGCCAAGGCCAGGGAGGAAGGGACAGAGGCAGGGGAGCGAATGGTGGCGTGGTCACGCATAGCTGGTTGGCTTGAGGCTGTGAGGAGGCAGGTGGGAGGGGACCACACGTGGGTAATATGAGGGTCTGGTCTAGACGCTTGCCAAGGACTTGATACTGGGGTACTTGAGACTGAGGCAATGCTGCCACCCCTAGGGGGTACCTGGAGGCGGGCAAGAGGCCGACAGCTACACTAATCAAGAGGTCATGTCGCCTGTGCGGTGCTTCCCCCTGTATTATTCTTCTAATCCTCTAACTGCGTGCAGAAGCTTTACTGATGGAAAACAACTAGTGAGAAGCAGAGCCGAGATCCCACCCAAAGTCTATCTGTTGGACTTGACCTCTTCTTTACTTTCTCCTGTGCGCTACCATCTCATCCACTCCCCAAGAGGCCATGTGATGTGTGTTTTGCCTTCCAGAAACCCTTCCAACCACCAAGATGGCTCAAACCAACCCCATGCCGGGGTCCGTGGGGCCATGGAAGGTAAGCTCACCTCCATCACATGGAATATTGAGCAGTTACACAGGACAGGGCATGAGATCCTGCCACTGAGCAGGCCCCAGGGCTGTGTTTTTCCATGCGACTATGACTGACCAATAAATTTTTAAAATGTTTTTTATTTATTTGTGAGAGACAGAAAGAGAGAGAGAGAGAGAGACAGAGTGTGAGCAGGGGAGGGTCACAGAGAGAGGGAGATACAGAATCTGAAGCAGGCTCCAGGCTCTGAGCTAGCTGTCAGCACAGAGCCTGACACGGGGCTCAAACCCACGAACTGTGAGATCATGACCTGAGCCGAGGTCGGACGCTTAACTGACTAAGCCACCCAGGCGCCCCAATGACCAACCAATAAAATGCCAGTTTTAGAGGAAGGGTCTACCCAACATCAAAATGCTTCTCAGGAAGGATCTTTCGGAATGCCCCATTCGGACAGAAGGAAGATCCTGGAAGTCCAAATGATTCCTAGTTTTCTAGATCACCTCTCCACCACGCTACTAAAGTCATCTTAAAACAGAGCAGCCCAGAGTGGATTATGCTGCCATGGAGAAACCAGGGATCCAGAAATGAAGAGATCCCACCAGATCCCAAACCAGTTCTCCTGGCTCCCAACCTGAGGTTCATTGTAACCATTTCCTGAAGTGGCTGAATCTCAGCTTTTCAGTGTTTTCTTTAACATCCCTTAAACGGGGTCAACTCTGAGGACAGCTCACAGCTTTGGGAGTTGTCCTCTAGTCAAGGTTCAAGAGCAGAGTTCTAGTTCAAGGTACAAAAGGGGTTCATCACAACTCTCCCTTTATACTTTCCGTTTCTGTAGAGATTGTGTCCAGGGAAGATGAATAATCCACATGAAGGCCTGGGACCCAGAATCCTTGCCTCTGGGCCACACTTTTGCAGGAAGCGTGTCCTCGGTCTGTCCACTGGACTGGCTATTGTTCCTGGAAAACCATTCCTATCATAAACCAAGCCCCACAGTACATCCCTGGGCATGTAAACACCACCAACCAGTGATAACAACTCGACCCCCTTCCTATCCTGTCTATACCAGAAGAGACCTTATCAGGCATCCTGGGCTACAACTAGTGATGGGAAGTTAAGCTCTTGATGTGGGCCTCTGTTCTTCCTGAGGTACCATGTTCTACCTCTGTTTTTCCATTCAATTCCATTCAGATAACCATCTACGACCAGGAGAATTTCCAGGGCAAGAGGATGGAGTTCACCAGCTCCTGCCCAAATGTCTCTGAGCGCAGTTTTGATAATGTCCGGTCTCTCAAGGTGGAATGTGGCGCGTGAGTACGGACCCCAGAGCCCTTATTTGTGGTCTCTGTAGGTGGGATGTAGAAAGATGTTCCCCCAGACTCTAGTCATTTCTGGGAGATAGGCCTCCATATGGACGTAGTCTCAAAAGAAATCACTACAGGTAATTTAGTAACTCAAAGCTAGAAGGAACATGAGGTTCCTGGTGGCTTGCTACTAGATTGGAGAGGGGGGTAAAGAAATGTAGACCATGTGGTGGGGCAGTGACAGTCATTAGATCTGTGCTTCTAGAGCCCATAGGCTGCTAGCTAGGATTCTCTGAGAATAGCCACAACACCTTTAGTTTTTCTTGTCTACAGAAAATAGAGAGGAAACTATCAAGCTCTTTACAGCTAACTCCCTTCCTGCATGTCCCAGGGCAGACACTGCTAGCTAATTTCTCTATGTAAAAAGGAACTCAACCCCAGGGCTTGAGAGCCATATTGGTTCCCAGTGAGCCTTTCAGGAGTTTCTTATTGATGATTAATTTCTTTGGCAAGTAAGACTCTTATTTCCTGACTCTTGGCAGGGAGGCTGAAGCCTTTACCATAAGCCTGAAAACACAAGGAAAGGACTCTCCTTTGGCCTAAAGCAAAACTGGCTTTGCAGTGGATAGGCTTCCACAAGTTGCTCACCACCAAACTGAGTTAACCCTTTAAAGAGAGTTAAAACACTTTAAGGCATCATCGGTAACTGAGACTTGGTTGTGAAAAATTGATCTGTGGTGTTTTAATAAATAAGGTATAGGTGTGCGCTAGGAGAAAGAACCCACAAAGTTAGAAGGAAACAAGAGACTTAGTAACCCATCAGCTACCTGTTCATCCCTTTGCTTCCTTAGGAAGAAGCCAATAGGTTTGGCTGGAGCCAAAGCAATAGTCAGTCACTAGATCCTGAACCTGGAGCTCCAAGTAGAGAATAAGGTAACTTGGAGAGAAAGGAAATAAAACTTTAGACTGACTTTGTTAATACACATTTCTCAGGTCAGGGAAGTAGACCCTTTCAGTGGAGAATCCCAAAACAAATATTCCATCTACAAACCTGCTTAATGCAGTTGCCAGCTCTTTCCCCACCTCTTGTGATAAAATGTCATCGCTTTGTATGGCTGTATTGAAATTGGCTTCATAGTTTACCCCACCATTGACATCTTAAAAAAAAAAAAAAAAGATGCCTTCTCCCTGAGGCCACGCAGGCTCTGAACGCCACAAATGTCACTACTTGTCTTTGGCAGCTGGGTTGGTTATGAGCACACCAGCTTCTGCGGGCAACAGTTTATCCTGGAGAGAGGAGAATACCCTCGCTGGGATGCCTGGAGCGGGAGTAATGCCTACCACATTGAGCGCCTCATGTCCTTTCGCCCCATCTGTTCAGCTGTGAGTCTCTGAAATGTTCACTTCTGTGCATACTGGCGGGATGTGGTAAGAGAGGGTGCAGATGGACTGACATTTAGCATTACTTCCCATCAGTTATGCTGGAATGCAGTTATGCTGAAATGCAAAGTAAAAAAGAGAAAAGAAAAACACTGGTCCCTCTAAATTTGCCCTTTGGTTTTTTCCCACTAAGAGGTGTTTTCATTAAGCTAAGAGTGGCAGGAAGTGGATACTCAAAAGCCCAGATCTTCAAAAGTGCAGTAGGATAACTAGTGAGAGTTAGTTTTGCTTGTTTTTGTACTTCATACAGGTTAGTCTTGGCCTTAATGTTTCTGTAGTATTCATATCCCCTACTGGACTTTAGGTTATTTCCAACACCATACACACATGGGCTTACTTGTTCTATTAATTTCTGTGATCTTTCCTCACATTAGTGATTATTAATCCCTTGGTTGGCTGTGTTTTGCAAGTATTTTTCCTGCTTTTATATTTTCATCCTCTTTCATTGTCCCAAAGTATTGCATCAGTTATTTGTACACTTTTTTCTTAATGTTTACTTTTGAGAGAGTGCGAGCAGGGGAGGGACAGAGGGAGGGGGAGACAAGAGAATCTGAAGCAGGCCCCACGCTGTCAGCAGAGAGCCTGACACCGGGCTCAAACTCAGGTACCTTGAGATCATGACCCAAGCCGAAGCTGGAAGCTCAACTGACTAAGCCACCCAGGCGCCCATTACTTGTGCGTTTTAAATGTTATGGTAGTAAATTGGACAGGATTCTTACCACCATATTGCCTGCAATAGTTTTACAATCAATATCATGTATGTACTTCCTTCTGTAAACCAGAAGTATTTTGAATTTGAAAAATACGGTGATTAAAGAATTAAGATTACAGCCTTAGCACTGATACCAAATTGTTTTTAAAAATTTCTGGGTTACAGAATCATAAGGAGTCTAAGATTACCATCTTTGAGAAGGAAAACTTCATTGGACGCCAATGGGAGATCTGTGATGACTACCCCTCCTTGCAAGCCATGGGTTGGCTCAACAACGAAGTTGGTTCCATGAAGATACAATGTGGGGCGTAAGTGCAAAAACAGGGTTGGGGCACATTTCAAAGGAACTCGTGCAAGTGTAAGCCTTGTGAATATTAATACACCAATGGTTACATCTTACCAGATTTCACACATTAGATCACAATTGGTACGGCTGGCACATTGTAATTGTTACTAACTTTCAAATACCATGTTGTTGGTACCAAACTACCACTTATCGTAAGGTTTTTCCCCTCTCAAATATTCCTCTGTGTAAGCGTTTATGCTGACTACGCTTAGGCTTTTTCATGATCAGGTTCATTTTCAACTAACTGTAGCCATATTATGCTCATTAACAGTGCCTGGCACATTTAGGATGGTTATTGTTTTTGTAACATAAAAGCATTCCGTAACAATTGGGTTAAGAGGCTCCTGACCAAGTTCCTAATTAATTTTAATAACCTAATGTGCTTTGGATTTTCTAGCTGGGTCTGCTACCAGTATCCTGGATACCGTGGGTATCAATATATTTTGGAATGTGACCATCACGGAGGAGACTATAAACACTGGAGAGAATGGGGTTCTCACGCCCAGACTTCCCAGATCCAATCGATTCGCCGTATCCAACAGTAGTGGATTAAAAGCCCCAAGTAAGAGAAACCTTGCTAAGCAATCTAGAATGAGTTCTATGTTAGCTGCTGAAATCCATAATAAATGTCATTAAAAAAACAACAACTGTGTAGACTGAATTAACTACCATACTTCTATATAAATCACACTCACGGGGCTGAGAATTTATAAAGACAAGCTTCAATAAAACCCAAATCCCCTTTTGTATCCTTGCAAGTCACTCACTAGGCCAATACAATTACTCCCTAACTCAAAGAACGTAAAAGTGTATGAAATCTATCAGTCTGTATAGTGACAGACACACTTCTGGTAAATGTTTTTACATCTCTTCTCATTACGTACTCTAATATTTTGGTGTTAGCAATGATTTTTTTTCAACTTGTGACAAATCAATGCTAAACAAACTTAGGAAGTTTCTCAAGTATGCATTGCCATATATTTCTACATAAAGTTACAAATAAATCCAGAATCTTGGCAACTTATTCTAGTTGCTTAATTGCTTAGCTCAATTTTGGCTTATTTCAATTAGAAGAACATATGGCTCAATGGCATGTAAAAAGACAGGATAGCTGTTCTCACAGCTGATTTTTTTCAATAAATATGCCAATTCTAAGCACTCTGATAACCTGTAGGACTTGTTTTAAAGCCATGATATACGACCATGGTACCCTTAAGACTTAATTTGTACATCTGACCCTTTGAAAAAATGTCATTATCAAGGCAATATTCTTAAAGCACACAAAAGATAACGCAAACACCTCTGAAACTTTAAAATTTTTTATTCAACAATGTACACTTATCGTCTCTTAATTTGATCTACAAATTTCTCAAGTTTTTTTTTTTTCTGATAAAATAAGTAAATCTGGGTATGGATGTAGAGTGTTTGTAATTTATATTTTTAAAACACTGAACATGGAGTAAGACATCAATAAAGGAAGATCAGAGTGTAACTGACACTTCCTCAGATTCCATGACATCAGAAACAGCTATGGCAAATACCTAAGCAATTAGCAAAAGGGTAAATTTCTGGCCACTGTTCTTTTATCTAGAAAAGGCCTATCTTTTTTGACTGGGCAAAACAAACACTGAAAAAATTTTAATTGGGAGAGGGAAGGAAAAACACCCTCCAATGTTAATTGTAGTCCACGAATTATCCTTTCCCCCATATCAAGAAGAGGTAACTCAGCTCCCAAGTGCTGATGCCCACAAGACACAGAAATCATTTTGCTCCTTCAGTATGTTCTGAGACTGAACGTAAGTGAACTAGTGACGGGCTGAGGAGTAGCCATAGCATCTAAGATGATGCTACACTTTGCCCACTTAATGTCTTTTAAGCGGGCATCATGGGATACCTTCCCAATCTTGACTACTAGATTTAGTTTTTAACTGTCACTTTCAGAAGGATGGGTTTTTGCTGTTTTCAGAGTCAACAACATACATCAAGAGCACACTTGATGACAGAGAAGTAACCCTCCTCTATATGTAGGAAAACCCTTACAAATCAGAAATAGTTCTTTTATATTGAGGAGCATGGGGAAAATACCACTAGTATTATCTTCTACTTAAGCTTATTAGCCTCTTCTATAAAAGTCCTAAGCAGGAGAGTACAAAACAGTGTTTGAAAAGATGATTTGACAAACCTGGCCAGTACATCTACACAACCTGTTAAGTACACATACATGTGAAATAAAGCTATTTAGTACATGCAGACTGCAGCAATTTAACCAAATTCGCCCAATTCCTAAACTTCTCCTAATCAGCTTGGGCAATTTTTAAAAGAGACACATTATCTTTAAAACAACCTGTGCTTTGATCTTTGAACAGCTCAATGATTCTAATCTCAAGTCATTCACTCAGTAAAACCAAACATATGCTAAAGCAATAAAGGTAAAAAAAGGCTATCCTACCTTTAAACCAGGCTTAAGACAGAATTGTCACAGAACTCCATGTGGCAAAGTCCTTCCCTCATATTTCAGTTTGAATTACCTTCCATTTCTATTTGACCAAATAAACCAAAATTTCCACGAGGAAGAGCATCCAAAAGTTTGTAAAGCTGATAAAACTGCCCTGTTTCAAGAAAAGCCCTTTAATAGATACAAGTCCAGCTCTCATTTAAACTGGAGTTTATTAAAATAGGTGCCAGTTTTCCTCTCTTCTAGTTCCGCTGATGAGCTAGCCCAGAACTATTACTTTGAGCCATGTTTCTAAAGATGGTAAAGCTAAGAACAGCAAAGTAGTGACCGGTCACTTCTGGTAATGACACACAAATTAAACTTTCAAAACATGTGCATAGCTTTATTCATCTACTTAGATCTAACCTTTTCATGGAGCTTCAGCAGAATTCGAGTGTGCAAAATGCATTTCTAAAACGTAATGCAAGCAAAGCTTTTCACATTTACACTGGCAGGAAATACAGAGAAACTAACAAGTCACATTAGGGAGAGTTCAGATCTTTTTTTTTTTTTTTTTTTTAATGACAAGAATTGCACAGTTCATTTTTTTGAGACAATTGTTGCAGACATAAATATTTAAAATTTTCTAACCCAAGGTGCTTTAACAATAAAAATTTGTAAGTTGGAAAGAGCCAGTAACTTGGATCATAGCTCACACAGAATTCCAAATTAAAGTGGACTCCATTATCTCCCTAGATTTTGCAAACAATGCTTTTTATAACACTTTTTTATAACACTAAAGGAGACAGCAAGCTGAAACTTTTTTCAAAGCACACAAGAAATGGTGTCATCACATTACTTGAAGAAGGTGCTGGGGAGGGGATAGGGAAAGGGAGTGAAGAATCCTTTCACTACTTCCCACTAAGAACAGCCACTAACAGATAAAGAACAAAAAAAGAAACAACAAAAAAAAAAGTAAATTAAATCACTTCCCCAGTTTATAAAATAGTTCCAGTTTGTGACAAGATCTACAACTTTAAACAGAGAGCACCAGTTGGGCGATAGAATGAGCATTTCATACTGCATAAAAATTAGTGAGGTGGTAAGAACCATCAACTATCTCAGGCATTATTTACTACATGGCCCTTCCAAACTTTTTTAATATACATGCAAGGCACATTGATATAAAAATAGATCTCTGGCCAACAAATATATTAAATAAGCAAATTAAAATTTTGGCTTGGCAATATTGGCAACATCAAAATATAACCCGGTAGCTTTGGACCACAATATCTTTCTCATATGCCTCCACCCCATTTGGTGTTTCGTCCTCCATTATTTTGGGTTCAGTCTCCTCCACGTTTGGGTATGTGCTTGAGAAAGGACTTTTCCTCTTGTCAAGTAGCATTCCTACTATACATAAGTTTATCTTTGCTAAGTAAAAATATACTAGAGAAACAGAATAGTTGAGTTTTGATGGATTTGATTACACGAAATCTGATTGGCTCGGGCTGGCATTATTTCTCCTCTGTATACAAAAAAAAAAATAAGTCCCCAGCTTATGTAGTAAACAATTGTTTTCTTTCTAAAAGATAAATCTGCAACAAACCAATGAAGCTTCTTTTAGGCCATTCTTCCCAAATCCTGTTTTTGAGGCAGAGAGAGGGGGGAATAGAAACAAAACTAAGATTTAAAAGGTTTTCAGTAGTAGAAGACATTTTAAGGCCAAAAAGCGTTAATACTAACAGAATTTTTATTTTCCTAAGTTATTGCCCTTCATAGGCCAATACCATAAATAGTTATTTGTACTGATTCCCTCCTGAAGAAAATGTTTAAATTCATTCACTTGTGTTAGTGGCTGTGCTACAGGAAAGGTATTCAAAGCAACTTAGAAAGGTATGGTATATAGTAATGTAAAAAGTGCATCACATTCTTGATTTTCAGTTTCTCATAGCAGCAGCAGGATTAATCCAAGACAGAAAACAGTTGTATTTTCACTCTAAAAATGCAACGATTCCTAATGAAATGTATTCAAGATTATGAAAGGATCCTCCTCTACAGGCAATAAATGAAACAGACTAATATGACAAACAAGGGCAAACTAAAGGCATTCATTCATATTTACATATTAAAACAATTTTTGTTAACACCAAATCTTCACATGTAGCGGAAGAAATGTTTACAAATAAAAGACATTACTAAAGCAGTATCCATTTTTTGGAGCCTTTGTTTAGCACCTGAGGAAACAAGGATATATGGAAAGCTATATAATTTACCTCAAGTTAGTTTCTTGGTCTGTAGAGTGGAACTTTGATATATAATAAAAGTGAAACTGAACTGGAAAATGTTTGTATCTATTTTAATAAGGCTGTAGAAAAGGGATACTGCATTGGAATATGTTTGTAACTATTTTAGTAAGGCTGTTGAAAAGGGATACTGCAGTATTATACAATGGCTTTAGAACTCTGGACATAAGCAAAACTGGATAAACAGAGAAGTCTGAACCAGCAATCCCATCACACACGAGGATGGCTGTCCGATAGGTGTCCTGCCCATAACCGCTACTGGACACTCCCAGTAATGCAGAAGCAACAGACCGCTCATGTTGCCCTGGGGGTTTCTATTAATTAGGCAGACAACTTAAAATTCTATTTATTCGTATGGAATAGCAAAAACAGTGCGAAATTTAAAACTCTGTAAAGCAGTGCATCTGAGGGGAGCCAATGATTTATCATTCTTTAAGCCAACCCAGGGTGGTCCTGGCTCTCACACAACTGAACACACTGAAGTGTAGTTAAAAAGAAACACCTTTTTATAAGCCCATCTTTCTCGCCATAAAATAATCCTGGTGCTCTGATTAGTCACACTGATTAAAATAACATCAGCATTAAGAACTAATGATAACCTATGTATCTGCAGACCTCGAGCAGCTATCGTACATGCTCTTAGCCTTATCCTCTGCCCCTCTCCATTTGGGGGGGAAAACAGGAGCAAATCCTACCCTTTCAAAACCCAGCAGTTATGGGCAGGACTGTGAAAGGACACGGCCCAATCAGAACCGAATTCAACTAGTACATCGACAGACTGGATCATAATAATTATTCATAATATGTACCTGTCCTGCTACAGTCTGTCTGTTGTGCAGTTAGCATAGGTATACGAGGATCATGTGCTGAGGATGTGGCCCAGTGAGTGGCATAAACTATACTCACAATCCTTGGCAACGGGGACTCTTATTTACCTTTTTGTCTCTTGACAGAATGACTCTCTCCTTACTTAGAATTTAAAATCAAAGTCCTCTTCCAGTTTTCCTTGCCCTGGGGCCACTGGGTAGGACATAAAATCTCACACTAAATGGCTTGTGTTTTAAAGTTTTCATTAAAAGATAAACCATTAGTCGCTTCCAACTGGGTTAGTCACAAGATTAACAACCAAGTATGAAACTACCACTATGTAATGCTTTGTGAAAAAACGCATTCTTGTACTGTGGACAATACTCCTAACTGAGGTTTGCCAGATTTTCCCTAGAAACTGTTATTTGAAAAACCAATGCAGCACTTTTCCTTTATAAAGTTTTTGCAGATTCTGAATGACTATGTAAGCAGAGGACTATGGGCAACAGCCAAATTCTACAATGGAGAGGACTTCTCCAGCCATTTATTCCAAGAAAAAACAAACTGGCATTAAATTTCCTAATTATTGTCTATCCCCTCCCAGAAAGGAGGAGGAAGGGCTAACTACAGATGCTGTAAATATACTTTATGTGAAAGTTCATTACTAAGAAAGTCAGAGGCAAGGCTATGCAATTAACTTCAGTTCAGCAAAGTGGGGGTGAATAAAGAGAAAGATAAATACAACCCTGTCTTTTGTGGGGAAGGGGAATTATTCAAGACATCTACAAGAGAGTGGTATGTGACACAAAAGCCTACAATCAAGACAGATTTAAAAAGAAATCTTCACCCATAATTAGTATCTTCATAGCTATTAAAAAAATAGGTCATGATTTCATTCTTAGTGCCATTTTTCAACTACTACCCTTTTTAGGATTAAAACCACCTGACTTTTAAATTCTGTGTAATGAAAACAAATGGCACAAAATAAATACAAGTTCATTCTCTGAATACTAATATAATGTCTTACACACATTCATTTACTAATTTTTACTATCTCCAACTGTCCCTCACACACACGCACATGCATACGCACATGCATACACATACATACACACACACACACACTCCTTTTTCAGTCTTTATAATGGAGGGATGTGAAAAATCCCCTCTAGACTGTATTTGGTTTATGCTACAGTACTAATACTCTGAGTTGAAGGAAAATTCTTTATACCAAACATAACACATTAATGTTATTTATGAGCCACCCAGGCGTCCCTACATTAATGTTATTTAAATGTGCTAAATTAATCACAGCTGAAGTTTGTTTAGAAGCTTACACAAAAATAATCAGAAAACAGATCAACTCTTAAGATTTTTTTTTTTTAATAAGTGCTCTGTAAGGAATTGTGTGAGGACCTAAGGAGAAAGATTGCAACAAGTAGAGTTAAGTGTTACCAAACAGCACAAAGGAGATTTGTCCCAAAGTCCTGCTTGTACCTAGGCAATTAAGTCCATTAACCCAATGCCCAAAAATACTGACAATATGATGGGGCACTAGGGTTCCCAGAAAGAGACATTCCTAACTATATACCTCTAACCATATAATCAAGGAAATTTCAGTGGAGAAAATCAGGGTGAAATGTTGCATTGTTTCATTCAGAAGTGAGACTCAAAAACCTTTGGACAAACAGATAAGGGATACATTCTCTTTTTGGCTTCTCTAAACATGGGAGGCCTGAGGGCTACAGGAAGGGAAGTAGAAAAGCAACAAGAGATTTCTAAAGGTATTTTTTAAGTAAGTGTTGCCTCTAAATTAAGAAGCCCAATTCAGACGGGGGCTGTTTTGTTTTGTTTTTAAATATATATTCATTCAACCTCTATGTCACAAACCCAGAAAGTTTCTTGTGAGTTGTGAGACAGAAGAGCTTTTAAATTCCAGGCAAGCAAAATGGACGTTTAAAAAAAGAAGGGTGTGGGGGGGGGGGGGGTTGGGAGGGAATCTGGCCCTAAGGCGACAAGTGGTTACACAAGGCAATTGAACACACAGCAGAACTTTAAAACCTATAAAACAAACTGGAGTCTTTTTTTGTCTTTTAATCAACCTTATATCTTTTTTTTAAACTTTTTGAAAATTTTTATTTAAAAAAAAAAAACACAAAAACACAGACTTCTTTCACTTCATTATGTGGTATGTTGCATTTTCCAGTTTGTTCAATGCTTTAAAGCTCAAGGATGCCTCTGCTTTCAATTGTACATGGGCCTGAAGCATCCTAGCTTTTGGCAAGCAGGCAGGAGACTCAACAAAAATCAAAATAGGAACAAGGCAGACTAAATGCAGGGCACATCTGTAAACATATTATACATTTGAAAATTACAATATCAGTAAAAGTGATACAGTTTACAGGTGAAATGAAACTATCTGGAACTGGCCTACCACAAGTTTCTGAACCTGGACTGATACAATAAGTTATTATATATATATATTATGTATAAAAAGTTTTGTTTACATCAAGTGGAATTGGCAATCCATGCTTATACTTTTAAAATCTAAGCAGGGCAGAAATCCAGACTAAAGATATTTTCTCTAAGTTGAGTCCAACAAGCTTCTTTCACAAACTACTTGTTAAAAGTCTCAAATAATCAACAAAACAAGAAAACTCATCCATACTACAGTCGCTCAAAACTGGACATTTCTTAAAAGGTTTGGAGCAAAAGTAGTTACCTTCTCCCCCAAACACCCCAGGGGATCCAGACTACTTTTATTAGAAGACTACACCTCTCTCTATATAAATGCCCTGCTATTTTAACCTGTATTTGACATACATGGATATACTAATTTCTGTGTGTGTGTGATGTGATGCTACATCAGGCCAGAGAACTTGTTTTTATGCCACTAACATCACCCAATCTTAAATTGGACCCTTAGTTTCTGCACACACACAAAAAAATTTATTTTAGCATGCTATATACAAGCTGCAGTGCAACAGGATGGCAATGTGATGATAAGACAGGGCTAATGCTCTTCTCTGCCCAAAAGAAAATTTCCAGAATTTCACATTATTTTCCTTAAAAAACCCATTTTGCTCTAGTAATAAAATATATTTATTAAGATATAATTAGAAGCTAATAAGCTCAGAAGTTTGCATGGAAACACACCTTCTATAGGCAGGGTTTATCATCTCCTCACTGGCTAAAAACATGAAAAGTTTTCTAGTTTTCATGGAATTTTTTCTTCCCCTTTTAGATATTTCTGAGAAATTAAAAGAGAATTTACAGAAAGGTACAGAAGTTTCTCTTTAGATGTTCAATGAAAAACAAGGAAAACAGCACATTTAGTGTTAGTGACAGAGAGCAAGTCTGGAGCACCTACAGTTGAAAAGCAGAGTATATTTTTGCTCCCACTTATACAATTACATTAAAATATGGGCAAAGGAATATTTTTCCATATTAAATATCTAAAGCCAATTGTTTGTTCTGTAACTTTTCTTTAAATGACTCATTGATTGATTCTTCACTTGTTAAAGTCCAATATGTAACCAAAGCCAAGTGAACTATGTACCAACTATTCCAGAATTAATAGAACTTCAATGCCCTCCCCTAATCCCCATCCCGCCAAAAAAAAAAAAAAAAGAAAGAAAGAAAAATTTCCCCAACACCCCACACAGGCTGCTTAACTCCTGGCAAGACATGCAAATCATATTCGCTAAAAAAAATACACCCTGCAAACTTCAAGGCATTTATCCAGCATTCTCGCAGGGCTCAAAGTATAACCAAAAGATCAAGGGAGGAGTGGGGGAAATGTTGAATCATTCTGGGTTCCCCGTGATTAGTGTATCACTTTAGTCACAGAACAAGATACAGAGATCTTTTAAGTAGATTTGCCTTTCCAGTGGGTCATTTGTTGCCCAAGTTGATGACAGCAGGAACTTTAGAACCACGCTTGGTATTAAGTCTGTATTCATTAATCACTTGCATTCACACTTAAAAACAAAAACTAACAAAAGAAAAAAGAAAAAAAAAACAAAACTATTCAGTACCGGAGATTAAATAACCATGTGTAGTCTCTTGAAATAAATTTTGATTCCTTAAGAAGTCTAATTACTTTCAGTTGCCTTTTTTTAAATAACTATATATATATATGTATATATATATATTTGTATATATTATCCTGTGATTCTACTTATGGTTCCTCTGCTGCGTTGAAGATCTAGGAGCATAAAAGCCTTGTGTCCCCCATGAACGGTGGCTCTAATGCTGCAGAAAGGTTACAAATAGGCAGTCTGGTCCTTCATTGATCTGGACTATCCATGGCTTCATTGTAAGTGATTATCCTTTTGGGATCTGGAAAGAAGGTTAAAAAATAAATACATAAATATAAGGTCTGGAATCCCAAAATGCCCATGTTCCACAACAAATTCCAAATAACTACCATCATTTTAGTTCCCTCTTTTTTTATGAAAAGACAATTTAAAGACCACTTCTTTGTAGTAACACATGTATGATCACAACCCAATAGTCTGGCATATCCAGCACAGGGTCCTCTAACCAGAGAGGGCTTCAACTCCTACAGATTAGAGAGGGGTTTGAGTTCAGTTAACAAGGGTTGTTTTAATGTGTTTCTCCCAATTATAAAAGCAGTACATATGAAGGAAAAAAAAAAAAAGCTTCAATCGTCAATAATCTAATATTAAAATAAGACACTTGAATTTACTTATTTTTGTTCTTCTGAGCAAAATAAAATCAAAATTCATTTTAACCAGTGTGGACTACCTAGTAAGGAACTGTTCCAGTTGGTATCTAGCACCAAAAACATCAGGCTAAGTTTGGCAAAACTATCAGTTCAGTCCTAAACAGGACTTATTTCTTCCTTCCTCCAAATTTGACATAGAACCTCCAGTCTTAACTCTCAGCAGTAGCAAAAGCCTGTGATCACCTGGGTTCAAAGTATAAAATAGTCAGAATAGGTCTCGGCAAAAATTCCAGTGTTCTTCTGAATTCCAATTATTCAGCTGTATGCTACACTCTCTTCTGGAGAGTCAATGATTCTATTGCACACCACTTCCACCTATCATATGAACTTTTAAAGGTATACGTACTTTTAACAAAAATTAGGAAACCAATAAAACCTGTCACCTAACGGAAAAGTATAAAGACCTAAAAATAATATTGAAGATCTCAAGCTCACCTCAGCTTAAGAGTCCATCTAATTTAGAGCAGAGATAATATAACACCCTTTCTAGGACTTCAACAACCATCCTCTAGCATCCTGCCATGAATACAGTGCCCATTCTTAATAGTTAATAGGTAGGGTCTACTTTTGCCAACTATATTTTCTAAGTCTACCTTTTTTCATTTGTATTTGAACAAGAAAGCACACAGAAAGCAACTCAAAATAATTTAAGAGTTTGCTAGTTATGTTCAGGCCACAGCTGTGTTAGACAAAAGACCTGGCCTAAGTACAAGAGAGAGGTGGAAGGAGGAGCAATGCTGGGGGATATCAGGGAAACCTACATTTAATCTTGCTACTTTCTAGCTTACACAGTAACATCTCTCACTTGTATTAACTAGCAAAGCAGATGGGAAATGGGATGTAATTCAGCTACAGGGTTCTGAAAGCCCCAATCTATTAGCAACTAGTTCTCCAGATTATAAAATTTACTTTATTTCAGGTATTCCAAAGCTACCACATCTTAATATATTTGGAAAAGCACATAATTAGGATAACCGATTAAAAATTTTTGAGAATTCCAAATAACCCAGATGTGGATTATTCAGTCCCTTTGCCTTCTTTCTATTCACATCTTATACTTGTGGTTAAAGGAAGCTAATTTGCTATTCTTAAGATTTCTAGCTATTTCAGAGAATATAGAGCCCAAATAAGGTTTCTAAAACAGCTAGTATATTCCTGAACCATGAATTTCAGTTCTTGGGCTTCCACTTGTCTACCACACAAAAAAGATACAGACTGGCTATAAATGGAAACACTTACTCACGTTGGTTTCTTAGATTAAAAATATTTATGTTCTGTCTTACTTTCACAGAGGGGTGAGAAATGTAATTTCTTCACCTAACAGGTAAACAGTATTTTCATATATTCTTCTCACATATAGTGTTTCCCTGGATATAAATAATTCAAAATACAAAGACTATTCACTTGGTAAGTCGCTATTCATGTTATTCCCACCCAAACATAACCCAATTAGTCATTAATACTAACATTTTAGGTAACCTAACTATACTTACCTTGCTTCTGCAAATTCCAAACAGATTCCATTTCTGCAAAGAAAACCAAACAAAAACAACAGATTATTTTATACAGTAAGTTTTATAGAGCAAAGTTTAAAGTTATGCTTTTCAGTTTAAACCTAAAAAATCTAGACTGGTTATTGCCAGGATAGAGATAGGGTTGAAATAGCACAGTTCTGCTAAATCTTAGACACAACATTCTTATTTTCTTGAATTCTCAAGAAGTGTCCTTCAGATTGCCTTAAGTGTTGATTATAGACTGTTGATAATTATCTGAAACCAAACTACCAAGAGAGCAATTCTGTCTACACAAATAGCACAAACATGCAGAAGCATTCTATAGATGAAATGTTATTTCTTATAATAGCTCATTATTATTAAAAACATGAAGTATTTTTTGGCAACCCATCATAACCCAATGAGGTACCCAAGTCTTCTGAATGAAGCACTCAAATTTAATTAAGTATGATGCTTAAAATGCCTTATTAAAATTTTACTTAGCTCTTTGCTGTAGGCAAGTGGTCCTGTTCTTCAAACCACACCTACTCTTTTCTTTAAAAAAATTTTTTTACATTTATTTTGAAAAGCAAGTGAGCACAAGCAGGGGGCAGAGAGAGAGGAAGAGAAAGAATCACAAGCATGCGCTGCGCTGTCAGCACAGAGCCCAACACAGGGCTCAAACTCCCCAACCATGAGATCATGACCCAAGGTGAAACCAATTGTCAGAGGCTCAACGGACTGCACCACCCAGGTGCCCTTACACCTACTCTTATTTTTAACCCATAAGGTCAAAATGCCAATCCATACTCCTTTATTAGTAACACACAATCCTCATTTGCTCCAATTCCATTCAGATGTGGTTATCTATAAGGTGCTTACTTTGATACCTTACAACAAAGAAAATATGTATATGACCAAACTATAGTGACATGCAGAGAAAAAGCAAGAAAAACTGTATCTGGAAGCATATCAGAAAGCTTCAGATGGCTTATTTGAAGGTTTGATGCATAAGACAGTAGATGACTTTTATACCACAAGCACCTAAGAATTGGACTTGAAACGAAATACTCTTTTAGGAGATTTACAGTGTAAACAAAGACAACTTAGTAGTAAGAATGGACTATAACTATGACTGAGAATAAGTGCTCTTCCCATAGCCATACAACTACCATTTTAAAAAGACAGAAAGGTGATTTTATTCTCTATTAATGTGGATTCTATGTAATTGTATTCTATATAATTTATCAGTGACCAATTATAGTTTAAGGAAAAAATTTAAAAAAACCCCGAAGCTCATTAAGATAGAATGTATCTGGACACAGGTTACAGTTAAGGTACAACATAATCCCTCCCCAAGGCTAAAAGTATATGAATCTAAAATTACTTTTTTGTTTTATGTTTATGGCAGGAGGCAAAGAATGGTAGGATCACACTCTCCCTACTCCCCTTTACCTCCCATCAAATTCACTCTTAAAACATTTCTAAGTTTTAAAAATTTATCAGAATTGGATGTTTGGAACAACAGGTTAATTATTCAAAATAAAGTAATTATCCAGATAAAACTTCATTCAAAGTATCGCAACAAGTGCCTGATAAAACAAAAACTGGGAAGTAATTCACTAGTTGTCATTTGGTCCAAGAGCTTAGATGGATGCTATGGGCTTTAAATTGCTGGGCAGAGGCCCATCCAAAGATTGGCAGGAAAGTCTCCTAGGTCTAAGGAGACAGAACTCTGATCAATCTAATCAGGAAAAAAAGAACATAAATCAGGAAAGGTTATTCTAGTCATGGCGCTCATATCTATCACTCTAATGCTACTAGTTTCAGACAATCAGGAATAGTTGAAATGGTCATTAGAGCCGTTATCCTACAATTTTCTGTACCTCAGAATGGCTTGAAGTGCAGAGATAAGCCTTTTCTTGGTTAACCTGACTTCAAAAAAACTAATTCAACATAGACATTTTTTTAGCCCAAGTACAGAAATCTCATTTTGCAACAATAAATCCCCGAGTTCTGTATGCATCAGTTACTTGATGCTCATTACTCAGTTTACTTAATATAAAAATAAACGTATACTTAGTCATATGTTTAGAAAAACACGAACTTTTCATCTTGGCCCATTATGCTATAACAACATATCCTTTTCTCTTCCCTGCCACAAACCTCAACCTGCCCCTTCCCCACCTATTTGTTTTTTTTTTTTGGGAGGGGTGTTGGGGGGAAGGAACCAACACTCAAGAGTCACCGTAAAAACTATACTAGTTTAAAGGCAAACACATAAACGTTAGAGTAAAAACAAAAAATAACTACTTGCAATCACCCAATTTCTTTATTAAAGACATTTCCTTATTAAACTAGAACATTCAGCTTTAGGTTTTAATATAGATTTTAAATGATTTCTGGTAAGAAAGTTTTATTATCTTCAAGAAAGGGCTCTGGAATAGTGAATTTGATTATGCCTTTTGAGGAGAGAAAAGGGACAGATGACCTAGCTAAAAAATTAGCAATGGGCCAACCTAGCTTCTAGCCAAGAAATAAATCAGCATTATCTGAAGTGCTGAACTGAAAAATGAATGCAATTCCTCTTCTAGTTATTTAATATTAAACATATTAAATGTAACAAGTAGAAAGCAACTTGATTTCCTTGATCAGAATTATAAGTTCCCACAAAAATCAACTGAAGACCAGAAAGGAGAAATAAATCAAATACTATTTGCATGTTTACTTGCTATGCTTAAACAACCCTACTAAGGCTAACAAGAAGCTAGTAAGAGAGAATATATAGAAAAGAAGTAAATTACATTTTGCTCTTTTAAATTACAAGTCTTAATGCAGATTCTAAATATAAAACAAGTTACTCTGTGTAATTGTTTTAATTACCCCAACAGAAGTTGAAGAATAAGGCACATCCAACTATACAAAATCATAACACAGTAATTAATCTTTCTACTTTTAATACTGCCCCCCACCCCTGGCCTTTAATTTCCCAGTTTTTGTTAAGTTGGATGCCAGTACCCAATTATGCAAATAGTTATTGAAGAAAATTTAACATTCAACTTTCTAAAGCAGGTTACTTTCTACAGAGCTCCCTACCATAAATGTCCAATAACCTAAAAATCCTAAATTCTAAGTGGATTAAAAAGTACAATTTAGGGGCTAGGAATATAGATGCAAAAACAGAAAGGCTCTGCTTCTGTGAGCTTCGCAGAATATACGTTTCTAGGTAGAAGCATGAGCATGGACAAAGCTTGGTGATATTAAAGTATAAGCTGTGCTTAAACAGGGGGTCAGCAAAACTGAGTTCTGTTTTTGCAAACCAAGTTTTATGGAAGAGAGCCACTCCATTTTTATAGATTACCCATGACAGCTTTTGTGTATAAGGCAGAGTCAAGTAACCAGAATTCCAAGGAGAGACCCCGTGGCTCACAAAGCCTAAAATATTTACTATCTGATCATTCACATAAAAAGTTCACTGATCTATGCTTTAGTGGTCACAATTTAGTAAGGCTGGACACCACTAAGACAAAATGATTTAGAAAAAGAACACTACTCAGGAACAGAACTGAAAGTCACTAAGGATGAAAGATTTACACACAGATAAATGCTATTCTGCTATTCAGGGAACAGCATAAAAGCACAAATGAAGGAAAACTTACTGTTTAATCATATAGGTGAAGAGAAGTCACTGAAGAGATCTGAGATTACTGTATTAAATATTAGTCATGATTGAGGTAACTAAATAGTATGGGTGAAATGGCAAAACAGTAGTCCTCCCCCTTATTTGCAGGAGATACATTCCCTCCAGTGGATTCCTAAACCTGCAAATAGTACCAAACCCTATAGATACTAAGTCTTCTCCTACACATACATGCCACATGCCTATGATAAAGTTTAATTTGTAAATTAGGCACACTAAGAGATTAACAATAAAACAGAACCCTTATAATACACTGCAAAAAAAAAAGTTATTGAGTGTGGGCTCTCTCAAACATTTTAACTGCACTGGACTTACATTCTTCTTGTGATGATGGGAGATGAAAAACCGCCTACATGATGAGATGAAGTGAGATGAGTGACAATAGGCACTGTGATGTAGCATTAGGCTACTACTGACCTTCTGACGATTCAGAAGGATCATCTGCTTCCAGACCACAGTTGACCGTGGGCAACTGAAACCGCGGAAAGCAAAACCACGGATAAGGTGGGGACTACTGTACAGAAAAAGAGCCCAGTAAATGTTACTGCAAAAGTGAAGAAAATTAGGACAGCTGTATTAAGAGATGGAAAGGAAAAAATGGATATGTTAGAGACAGGATCCATATAACCTAACAATCATGGTTTGGAATTCCATTTTATATACAAAGAATTGGGAGAGGTGATGTTGAATATACTCAGAGTAAAAGTAGTCGAATTTTCAAGCTTAACACACAACAACAGAATTGGATGAGATTACCCATGAGTAGCATGAAAAGGAGACCAGAAAAACATAAACCCTTGAGGAAAAGAGAATGATATAAGGAAGGCTATGCTGAAGATGTGCAAAGTAGGAAAGTGGGTTGTTAAGGAAATGCAAATTAGAGACTTTAGGGAGGGCATATTCAACTACTGTAATTCTTAGTCAAAGTTAAGACACTTTTAACTTTCTAGTCCCCCTTCTTTTTCTCTAGCCAGATGTCACTGCCTGGTTCAAGCAGTGGTATCTTACAGAACATTTCTGGAGTGTAATCTTTTAACAGGTCTCTCTTGCCCTTAACTGGGTCTCACTTCTCAAGTTCTACACGATGGCTAACATTCTCTTCCTCTAAAAATATAAACCTGAAAGTGACCAAAACACTTCAATGGATTTTCATGGCCTACAGGGAGAATGGATCTGTTTGTCTTATGTAACATGTCTAGCCCTGGACACAGCTGTACATCAATAAATTAGGTGACTAAAGGTTTTTTTTAACTTGCACCACTCGCTTTCCTTGAGTCAATTTGAATGACTGGCAATCTTCAACTATTATTCCATTTCCTCCACCTAAATTACA